TCACTCACCACAGTAACCAGTTCACTCACCATAGTAACCAGCTCACTCACCATAGTAACCAGCTCACTCACCACAGGAACCAGTTCACTCACCACAGTAACCAGTTCACTCACCACAGTAACCAGTTTACTCACCACAGTAACCAGTTTACTCACCACAGTAACCAGTTCACTCACCACAGTAACCAGTTCACTCACCACAGTAACCAGTTCACTCACCACAGTAACCAGTTCACTCACCACAGTAACCAGCTCACTCACCACAGTAACCATCCTCACCACAGTAACCAGTTCACTCACCACAGTAACCATCCTCACCACAGTAACCAGTTCACTCACCACAGTAACCAGCTCACTCACCACAGTAACCAGCTCACTCACCACAGTAACCAGTCCACTCACCACAGTAACCAGTTCACTCACCACAGTAACCAGTTTACTCACCACAGTAACCAGTTCACTCACCACAGTAACCAGTTCACTCACCACAGTAACCAGTTTACTCACCACAGTAACCAGTTCACTCACCACAGTAACCAGTTCACTCACCACAGTAACCAGCTCACTCACCACAGTAACCATCCTCACCACAGTAACCAGTTCACTCACCACAGTAACCATCCTCACCACAGTAACCAGTTCACTCACCACAGTAACCAGCTTACTCACCACAGTAACCAGTCCACTCACCACAGTAACCAGCTCACTCACCACAGTAACCAGTTCACTCACCACGGTAACTAGCTCACTCACCACAGTAACCAGTTCACTCACCACAGTAACCAGTTCACTCAACACAGTAACCAGTTCACTCACCACAGTAACCAGCTCACTCACCACAGTAACCAGCTCACTCACCACAGTAACCATCCTCACCACAGTAACCAGTTCACTCACCACAGTAACCAGCTCACTCACCACAGTAACCAGCTTACTCACCACAGTAACCAATTTACTCACCACAGTAACCAGTTTACTCACCACAGTAACCAGCTCACTCACCACAGTAACCAGTTCACTCACCACAGTAACCAGCTCACTCACCACAGTAACCATCCTCACCACAGTAACCAGTTCACTCACCACAGTAACCAGCTTACTCACCACAGTAACCAGTTCACTCACCACAGTAACCAGTTCACTCACCACAGTAACCAGCTCACTCACCACAGTAACCAGCTCACTCACCACAGTAACCAGTTCACTCACCACAGTAACCAGTTCACTCACCACAGTAACCAGCTCACTCACCACAGTAACCAGCTCACTCACCACAGTAACCAGTTCACTCACCACAGTAACCAGTTCACTCACCACAGTAACCAGCTTACTCACCACAGTAACCAGCTCAATCACCACAGTAACCAGTCCACTCACCACAGTAACCAGCTCACTCACCACAGTAACCAGTTCACTCACCACAGTAACCAGTTCACTCACCACAGTAACCAGCTTACTCACCACAGTAACCAGCTCACTCACCACAGTAACCAGTTCACTCACCACAGTAACCAGCTTACTCACCACAGTAACCAGTTCACTCACCACAGTAACCAGTTCACTCACCACAGTAACCAGTTTACTCACCACAGTAACCAGTTCACTCACCACAGTAACCAGTTCACTCACCACAGTAACCAGCTCACTCACCACAGTAACCATCCTCACCACAGTAACCAGTTCACTCACCACAGTAACCATCCTCACCACAGTAACCAGTTCACTCACCACAGTAACCAGCTCACTCACCACAGTAACCAGCTCACTCACCACAGTAACCAGTCCACTCACCACAGTAACCAGTTCACTCACCACAGTAACCAGTTTACTCACCACAGTAACCAGTTCACTCACCACAGTAACCAGTTCACTCACCACAGTAACCAGTTTACTCACCACAGTAACCAGTTCACTCACCACAGTAACCAGTTCACTCACCACAGTAACCAGCTCACTCACCACAGTAACCATCCTCACCACAGTAACCAGTTCACTCACCACAGTAACCATCCTCACCACAGTAACCAGTTCACTCACCACAGTAACCAGTCCACTCACCACAGTAACCAGTCCACTCACCACAGTAACCAGTTCACTCACCACAGTAACCAGTTCACTCACCACGGTAACTAGCTCACTCACCACAGTAACCAGTTCACTCACCACAGTAACCAGTTCACTCAACACAGTAACCAGTTCACTCACCACAGTAACCAGCTCACTCACCACAGTAACCATCCTCACCACAGTAACCAGCTCACTCACCACAGTAACCAGCTCACTCACCACAGTAACCAGCTCACTCACCACAGTAACCAGCTTACTCACCACAGTAACGAGTTTACTCACCACAGTAACCAGCTCACTCACCACAGTAACCAGCTCACTCACCACAGTAACCATCCTCACCACAGTAACCAGTTCACTCACCACAGTAACCAGCTTACTCACCACAGTAACCAGCTCACTCACCACAGTAACCAGTTCACTCACCACAGTAACCAGTTCACTCACCACAGTAACCAGGTCACTCACCACAGTAACCAGTTCACTCACCACAGTAACCAGTTCACTCACCACAGTAACCAGTTCACTCACCACAGTAACCAGTTCACTCACCACAGTAACCAGCTTACTCACCACAGTAACCAGCTCACTCACCACAGTAACCAGTTCACTCACCACGGTAACCAGCTCACTCACCACAGTAACCAGTTCACTCACCACGGTAACCAGCTCACTCACCACAGTAACCAGTTCACTCACCACAGTAACCAGTTCACTCACCACAGTAACCAGTTCACTCACCACAGTAACCAGCTCACTCACCACAGTAACCATCCTCACCACAGTAACCAGTTCACTCACCACAGTAACCAGCTTACTCACCACAGTAACCAGCTCACTCACCACAGTAACCAGTCCACTCACCACAGTAACCAGTTCACTCACCACAGTAACCAGTTCACTCACCACGGTAACTAGCTCACTCACCACAGTAACCAGTTCACTCACCACAGTAACCAGTTCACTCACCACAGTAACCAGTTCACTCACCACAGTAACCAGTTTACTCACCACAGTAACCAGCTCACTCACCACAGTAACCAGTTCACTCACCACAGTAACCAGCTCACTCACCACAGTAACCATCCTCACCACAGTAACCAGTTCACTCACCACAGTAACCAGCTTACTCACCACAGTAACCAGCTCACTCACCATAGTAACCAGCTCACTCACCACAGTAACCAGCTTACTCACCACAGTAACCAGTTTACTCACCACAGTAACCAGTTCACTCACCACAGTAACCAGTTCACTCACCACAGTAACCAGCTCACTCACCACAGTAATCAGTCCACTCACCACAGTAACCAGTTCACTCACCACAGTAACCAGTTCACTCACCACAGTAACCAGCTCACTCACCACAGTTACCAGTCCACTCACCACAGTTACCAGTCCACTCACCACAGTAACCAGTTCACTCACCACAGTAACCAGTTCACTCACCACGGTAACTAGCTCACTCACCACAGTAACCAGTTCACTCACCACAGTAACCAGTTCACTCACCACAGTAACCAGTTTACTCACCACAGTAACCAGTTTACTCACCACAGTAACCAGTTCACTCACCACAGTAACCAGTTCACTCACCACAGTAACCATCCTCATCACAGTAACCAGTTCACTCACCACAGTAACCAGCTTACTCACCACAGTAACCAGCTCACTCACCACAGTAACCAGCTTACTCACCACAGTAACCAGTTTACTCACCACAGTAACCAGTTTACTCACCACAGTAACCAGTTCACTCACCACAGTAACCAGCTCACTCACCACAGTAATCAGTCCACTCACCACAGTAACCAGCTCACTCACCACAGTAACCAGTTCACTCACCACAGTAACCAGCTTACTCACCATAGTAACCAGCTCACTCACCACAGTAACCAGTCCACTCACCACAGTAACCAGTCCACTCACCACAGTAACCAGTTCACTCACCACAGTAACCAGTTCACTCACCACGGTAACTAGCTCACTCACCACAGTAACCAGTTCACTCACCACAGTAACCAGTTCACTCACCACAGTAACCAGTTTACTCACCACAGTAACCAGCTCACTCACCACAGTAACCATCCTCACAACAGTAACCAGTTCACTCACCACAGTAACCAGCTTACTCACCACAGTAACCAGTTTACTCACCACAGTAACCAGTTCACTCACCACAGTAACCAGTTCACTCACCACAGTAACCAGTTTACTCACCACAGTAACCAGCTCACTCACCACAGTAACCAGCTCACTCACCACAGTAACCAGTTCACTCACCACAGTAACCAGTTCACTCACCACAGTAACCAGCTTACTCACCACAGTAACCAGTTTACTCACCACAGTAACCAGCTCACTCACCACAGTAACCAGCTCACTCACCACAGTAACCAGCTTACTCACCACAGTAACCAGTTTACTCACCACAGTAACCAGTTCACTCACCACAGTAACCAGCTCACTCACCACAGTAACCAGCTCACTCACCACAGTAACCAGCTCACTCACCACAGTAACCATCTCACTCACCACAGTAACCAGCTTACTCACCACAGTAACCAGTTTACTCACCACAGTAACCAGCTCACTCACCACAGTAACCAGCTCACTCACCACAGTAATCAGTCCACTCACCACAGTAATCAGTCCACTCACCACAGTAACCAGTTCACTCACCACAGTAACCAGTTCACTCACCACAGTAACCAGCTTACTCACCACAGTAACCAGCTCACTCACCACAGTAACCAGTTCACTCACCACAGTAACCAGTTCACTCACCACGGTAACCAGCTCACTCACCACAGTAACCAGTTCACTCACCACAGTAACCAGCTCACTCACCACAGTAACCAGCTCACTCACCACGGTAACTAGCTCACTCACCACGGTAACTAGCTCACTCACCACGGTAACTAGCTCACTCACCATGGTAACCAGGTGTTGTGCAGACACAGCAACATGTTCTGGTTGAATGCCGTGATGTGGCTGTAGAAGGCGGTTCAGGTTTCGGTGAGAGGAAGGCTCCTGATGAAACTCTGATCCAGAGAGAGAACCTGGGATGACTCCGGATACCCAACTAGGGTTCTGATGGTGATTGTGATGATGATGATGACGATGATGAGCACGGAACTCTGGCAGGTCGTCCACATCATGCTGAGGATACAGAGCCAGAGGAAAGCGACCGGGTCGAGAGGTAGGAAGAAGACCACCAGCAGCATTTTCTGAGAGGAGAAGGATAAACAAACCCAGTGTCCTAAATCAGCGGGTACAGAACCATTTCAGTTCAGTTTTCTTTACATGGTAAATGTGCTAGCATGTATTTGCATGGCGCCTCCTTACCCTGGTTTCACACTGGAAGCATCACCGGTGTGGAACGTCGTTGCTTCAACTAGAATCCATGATAGCATGTAGAGTGTTTCCAACCAGCTGTGCGGTTATTTCCATGAGGGTCCCAGAAGCGGCACGCCGCACCGCCAAAGGTGCAGTCGGGTTCTACTTTTGCAGCAAGCCGCTTCTGGGACACGTCAATTTCTGCAGTTATCATAGGGCTAGACAGGAAATCACCTGCAGCGATGCTGTGTCACATATATGTGGCTTAGGTGTGACCTAATGGCTTGTATTATTCCAGAAGTGCAGCGGTGTGTTTTTCATGGCTTTAATCCTGGCAGTAGCTGGGGATTCCTTCTTTTTGGTATAATGGCGGATTGCATTAGCAAACCGTGACCTTTGAAGTCTTGAGGGATCTTGTGATTTTGCGAGTCCAGTGAAAAACACAGCAAGGAAGCTGAACCGCGGCCAAGACTCTCCCGGTGTGACATGGATCACTTTGAAGTTCACGAGTAAAACATTCCGCTGCCTTTTCGCGATGCTCCCAGTGTGAAAACCGGATTTAGGGTTCTACAGCCCCCCAAGGCGCTTCACAACACAATCAGTCAAACATACACGCATTCACACAACGGTGGGGATGAGCTACAGCAGTGCTTCCCAGCCCTGGTCCTCAGGGCACACTGTCCTGCATGTTTTCCATGTTTCCCTTTTAAACACCCGTGTTTCCTGCTGCCACATCTGACCCAAATGAATGAGTGATTAACAGGCATCTGCAGCACTTGATGTCCTCCTGAGGAGGCGATGTAAACCAGGTGTGCTGAAGCAGAGACAGCATGCAGGTCAGTGTGCCCTGAGGACCAGGGATGGGAAACACTGGGCTACAGTGTAGCCACAGCTGCCCTGGGGCACACTGACAGAGGCGCTTCAAATCACAACAAAGAGTCTCCTGGCCAGGTGAGAGACACCTCCTGGTTGGACGTGCCTGGAAAACCTCACCAGGGAGGCATCCAGGAGGCATCCTGATCAGATGCCCGAGCCACCTCAACTGGCTCCTCTTGATGTGGAGGAGCAGCGGGTCTACTCCGAGCCCCTCCCGGATGACCGAGCTTCTCACCCTATCTCTAAAGCCGGGCGTACACTGTGCGACTTTTTCACTCGCAGCGTTCAGCTTCAGCTCAAACTGTACGACTTCCTCTCAGAGTAGATCTCACGAGTCGTGTGCTCACACTGTACGACCCAGTTCTCGGATGCGACCTGACTGCTCACACTGTACGTCTGGTAGCAACACGTCGGCCCTAAAAATGTGCTAAAAATAGCAGTTTTTACTCAACACGTCAGACTTTTTTGTCTTGCCTGTCGTCCTTCGGGAGTGCTGCAGGAGGACACACAGGGATTTATGGGGGTTGGATGAGGAAACGAAATAAAGAAAGTAAATCTGTGTTTTATGATCAGTTTAATTTGACACGAACACGACAAACACGCTTTCTTGACAATCTTTGTGAGTAAAATAAACGTGTAGAAATAAAAACGAACAATGTGTGTTATTAGGGAAATAGCGAGCGACCGGCGTTGATGCAGGATTGCGCGCGCATGCGCCGTGAGCGGTTCTGATACTTTTTTGGGTCGCAGCTGCTCGCAGCGCCGCTTCAACAGTGCGATACCCTCACGAGGGACGAGCGAAATATTAAACACACCAGAAGTCCCTGCGACCTCACGACTGCTGATCGGCAGCTGGTCACGTGGTGTTAATCGCCTCTCGTAACCCCCTGAACACTACACCACGCTCAGCGCAAAACTCGCCCCGATCTCGTGGATTCTCGCACGAGTGGAAAATCGGCTCAAAAAAGTGAAAAAGTCGCACAGTGTACGCCCGGCTTAAGGGAGAGCCCAGACACTCTGTGGAGAAAACTCATTTTGGCCGCTTGTGTCCGTGAAGGACTAGGTTTGCACGTCAGCCTCTGCATTGCCCCTCCATGGGAAATGTTTGTTGTGCTGTCCTTGTTCAATAAAACCTGACCAAATCAAACTAAACAAGCAGGCTAAAGGTGAAAGCATTCTTCCACTCCTATTTCCTGCATTAGCCACAGATAGGAACCAGACAGGGAGACGCTCGGATTCAGATCTAAATCCCACTGAACGTTGGCATTCATGCACTCCCCATCTTGGCTCATCCCAGGAAAGGCTGAGGTTGAATTTTCTCATTACTGATGTCCATCGTGGCAAAACCACGATCTCAGGTGACAGGTGTAAATGGTCAATGGCTCAAGGAATCCATATAAAACTAATTTTCATGTAACTACGTACTCTGTCTGTAGAGAATTATAAGGTTTTTGAGTCTTGAATTGATTGAAAAATATCTGATGTTTTCCCTGGTCTTTGAACTCACCATCACAAAGCTTTCATGTGGAAGTTTTTAGTTAATCAGAAACTGAGAGCGTGTTCTGTTGGTTGAAGCTGTGAGCCGGATCAGAGCCTGGCGCTGAAATGAGGGAACGGATGGAGATCAAATGAAGCTGATGGGAGGAAAACATGTTGGGATAAAGCCCTCTTGTGAAGTGGACACAGCTTCTCCGAAGCTCACCTTGTCTTCTGTTGCCCTTAGCAACGGCGTCCTGATTGCCAGGATGATGCTGAGCTTAGCTCTGATTGGACAGGTGTTGATATTTGTCTTAAATGTTACAAGCACAGCATCACTCCATGAACTATGAATGTAGGCACGAATAAGGAGAAGTTTG